TATTTATATTTATATTTATATTTATTATTTATATTTATATTTATATTTATATTTATATTTACATTTATATTTATATTCACATTTGCATTTATACTTATATTTACATTTATATTTATATTTGTATTTATATTTATATTTGTATTTATATTTATATTTATATTTATATTTATATTTATGTTTATATTTATATTTATATTTATATTTATATTTATATTTATATTTATATTTATATTTATATTTATATTTATATTTATATTTATATTTGTATTTGTGTTTATATTTATATTTATGTTTATGTTTATATTTGTATTTATGTCTACATTTGCATTTATATTTGTATTTATATCATTCCATTATTTCCATCCTTGTGGTATAAAATGGATAGAAGAAAGTGTCGCCTTAAGCTCCATTTTCCTTTGGTAATGCGCTCATAATCAAAGGGTGAGAAAATCAATCAAAGTTAATTTGTATAAATTACTTTTGAAAATAAAAAAAAGAGAAGTACGCGTGACTTCGTTGTATATTTAAAAATTTTCCGTTTAGAGAAATTATATATTATATCATTATATGTATAATATACATATTATATATTGCATCATATTATGAAGTATATATTATGAAACTACACATGTTATGTATTATGTTACGTCTAAACGAAAGTGACTGGCTATAGTTTTAAATATGTATTATCTTTTGGTGTATGTTATTGATAATGATTGTTACTTTTTCTTTTACCATTAATTGATTCTCCCAATAAATTATAAGTGGGAAAGAGCTTGATAACATTAGGTAGGATTTAATTGTTCGTGTACTTTTCAAATGATTATCATTTATTTCTAAGTAATTTTAAAAAAAAAGGTGAAATTTCAGAAAGTCCCTCCGGACGAATTAGCCAGTTAACGTTGCTGCATTTTTCATGTCCGACCCCCATGATTTAACAAGAACGTGGGGTGACATAGATTCGGCAGTTCGTCGTATAGCGGCACGTTGTGAAATTTATAAAGATCCAACCGATCGCGTGTTTTCCGAAGCAACAGAAGCAGGAAAACTAGTAGAAATCAAAGAATCATTTGAGGAGGAAGCGTTACAATTTCGTTTAGCTGTTATTCGACAACGTTTGAAACAAGAAAAACGTGATAGCTGGCTTCGACCAAGTGCTTACTATTATATGGGTTTAGTGAAGCATTGAATTTCTGCTAACCGAAATTATCAAGTTGCGCATCCTAATTTTTTGTCCGGAAATGCATTGTTTTGTTACAGTTGGAAGTACAGAGTTCGATGGGTTAATACGTGCGGTAGTTGAACGGAAATGTTTGGAGTCGTTGAATCAAATTGGTATCACTGATTTACTCATACAGATAGGCCGAGGGAAAGTGCAGCTTAAGAAAGGTAACCGTTGTGGTGTAAATATCAACTACTATCGTTACAAAGATGACATTTTACAAGATATTACTGGAGCAGATTTGGTAATTGGACATGCTGGTGCTGGAACGTGTCTTGAAGTGCTCCGGTGTCAAAAACCATTTGTGGTAGTAGTCAACGAAGAGTTAATGAATAATCATCAATGGGAACTTGCCGAACGCTTACACGAATTGGGTCATATTTTCTGCACTAAACCGAACGATTTAGCAGAAATAATCAGGTTGCCGGAGATTTTGAAACGTAAACCATTTGCAGGGCCTGATTATTCAATTCTAGCAAATACTATTCTTCGACATATGGGGATTGATGATGCATAATTATCGTTTTTCTTGCTCTTCAGACTTTTCAATTTCAATAAGTCAAAAAGTTTGGCTACCACATATTAACATAGAAATAACTGAATTTCTTTATGTCTGGAAGACTTTTGCGTTTAATTTCGTTCTACTCTGAGCTTAATACAACATTTACATGCTTAATACAACAGTTACATTATGACAATACCAATTGTCAATTGTCATAGAAGAATGTATGTTTTAAGACTTCCTATTTCATGCCTTGGTAATTTCGATTACTTTTATTTTGGTGTCCATTTTCCACATTATTATCATAATTTTACCAAGAAACATCAAGGTGAATGATGAAGTAAACTGTTTAAAAAAATCTTTTATCGTGATATTTATGAGTACTGTTGTTAATTTCAACGCCTTGCATTGGTGTTCATCATTTAAACTATCATTGAAATTTCGCTTCATTTTTATTCGATCGGCATTATTGTGATATGTTCGTGTGACTGAATTCATTTATCGTTTCTCACAATATTTTGTGTTTTATGAAATAAAATTATAGAAATTTTTGGATGGTTCAAACATTATTCCACGATAATATCGCTGTTCACTGTACTGACACAAACGGCCAAACAACTAGTAAAAGGTTTGATTCTTGTTTCATTTCATCTTTTATATAGTAGATGTTGTTACATAATATTAACGAGGATAATGATATATGATGTTTCACAATTATTCTTGAAATTTCTTGTATATATTTGTTCATGAAACATGTAGTTGGAAAGGCGGGAATACTATTTTGAAAGGTGATGTAGTGTATTAATGGTGTAGTACATATATATATATATATATATATTGTTTTTTAATAAAGTGCCATGGTCATATTATACTCAATTATGATTAAAGTTGAGCGGGAAATATAATTTACAGAGGAAGGTTCCTCAAAAATTTGTCAGATACTGAAATGTCCGTTTAAATTCCTTGTGGACTAATTACTTCAACAATAATGTGTAATACTTTTTCTGTGACAGTCGAAATTATATCCATATCCATTCTGTTTGGTATTTGAAAACCAACCGCTTGAACGGTTATTTTTTTTATATTACCCCCAATTTTTCTCTTTCAGTTGTATAATTTTGAATTTGAAAATAGACGAACGACAGAACAGAGCAGAAAAGGTTGGGATTTTCAAAAATTTTTAATCATGATCATTTTGTAGTAACTGTAAGAGCTAAATGTTTTTCTTGCTGATTTTATCGTTATATGAATGTTATCAGATCGTTTAATAATTATATTCATTTACACAGGTCTCAAAAAATTTTGTTTGATGAAGTTGAGATATACCTTTATTCAAGTTACTTCACTTGAAGAAAGAATTTGTATATTAGACTACTTGTCTGTCATACACATGTCGTATACTTCAATTAACATTCATAAAAATTGCTCACTTCTTTTTCCAGGAATTTATATTTTGCATATCGCGAGATGATGATCCTTTGTTCATATATATACTATCACTTCGGCGATCTGAATATGAATCACTGAAACGCGAGCAAGAATTAGATGTCGAATTCGATGCATTTCCTAAGAAAATAGTCGATTTTGTTACTTACTTAGATAGTGGCTGTGGATCTCATCTTCGGGGAGGCCTTTACGATGATAATACTTTATTCAAGTATGTCCTTCACCTCATTTTCGCTGATCTGCTCGTAGTAAAAAGATATTATTGCTAAAAATGCTTTCATATTGCTATAATTGATGGAATGCTGAATATTACGATGACAGAACAGTAATGTTCTGGGAAATTGATAAAGGAATTATATTAGGATATTAAACACTGAAAATAGTAAGGGAAAGATCAAATCAGGTTTATGGTTTGATCTTCACTACTCTCAAAAGCCATACTTTATATGGACCATAAATATGCAAAATTGAAGTAATGAATGATATTCGGGCACATTTTCACTGAAATCAGAATTGTTCAAACACTCCGACAAAATTCTTATGATGCTCTGAATTGGAGCAAAAATCTGATTTCCGATGAGGTTTATGAGGTGATAAATAGAAGCTAATTTTTGCAATTTTTTCTTTATTTCAGATTTGACCTCGTCGGAAAAATGGGGTTCAAATGGGTTACAGTTCTTTCTTTACCTCTTCGAAGAGTAACTGATAAAGCTTTAATAACGCATCTTGTTGAAAGAATCATGAAATATAAAGTGAGCTGTTTTGTGGTTGGATAGACTGATTTGTTTTTTAATTGGATAGATTTTCTGGTCTTCTACCGCATCCTACTGCATTTATATTTTAACTTTTTTTTTCTTGCTCTTTTCTTGTTCAATTTTCAGGAGTATTTAAAGGAGCTGGATATTTTACGTGATTCATTATCATCGGAACAAGCGGTAAGTTAATAATTCCCATGGTGAAAATATTTACTTGGATGATGGAGCGTTTCTTGTTAAAATTTTTAAAGTTTCGTATTTCTCTTTTCTGGATCCTCAGTTTTAAATAGGATATAAAAGCCTCTGCACTATATATTGTCATTGTATCTTTTTTTTCTTTTTAACTAGTTTAATCCGTACATTACTGTAGTTTCCTAACAATAACCGTCTCTGGGATAATTTCAGCTAGAAAAGAAAAAGAAATTTGTTCTCCTCTTGCCTTTAGTCAACTTTGGTATTGGCCAATATTGAATTATGCTGCCGAATTTTGGAGTACACACTGCTATTTCTCCGTTCAAATAATATGCTAATATAATAAAACAGAAGCTAGGTTTTCCACTTGATTTGAATAATGATCTTATTTATTTCAGGAAAACAAAAGTTTGCGAAATTCATTAACTGCAAAAGAAAAGATGCATTCAGATTGCTTGCAGAAATGGGAAGAAGAACGAAATGAAGTAATAATTTCATTTTTTACGGTAAAAATATTCGATTTTTATTGTGGTTTCTTCAAAGTTAATCTTGTGTTTGCTTATTAAAAAGACGAAAGAAGGTGTTTTTTGAGAATGAGGTTGACATACGGTCATAGTCATGCACCAAACTTATTTCCACTCGACTTAAATTTTTTTGTTTTTGGATTTCATCATATTTTTCAAGTGCAGTTTGTTTTTTGGTTTCTGTCCGTTAATTATATCTTTCTTATTATTCAGATTATTGAAAGCAAACATAAACTTGAAGAATTGAACGAGGAACTTCATGCGGATAGGCAGGTATCAGTTTTCCATTTGTTGGTCTTTTCTGTAGTATTTTCATTATCAAAATTTTTTTCACTTCGGTTATTTCTTTCTACGACAGATCCCTTGCTTCAACTAATGTTACAATTCCACTGGGATAGCTTGCATGGTTTTTAGATGCTTACACAGGAAGTGAGCACTTTAAAGGAAGAAGTGGTCGATTTTCGTGATCGAATCGATGATCTGATTGAACAAGTTAATCAGCTGGAGGATAGAGTACATGTACTAACGGAGGAACTCGACACTTCTGTATGTTTGCGTCTGCTTAATTGATTATATGATTTGCGTAAGAAAAGGTGCTGTAAATGATGGCATAATTTATCAATATGTGATTTTTAGAAAGTTCAAAAGCGAAACTGAAATTAGTTTCGAATTCCATCTTTTCTCGATTCATTTTAGGAAGGGCATGTTGTTAGTTTCGAAAGATCTCAAGTTTAACTTTGACGGATGGAAAACAAATTTGCGGTGCAGGATGAAGTTTATTTGTAAATGAAAAGAGAACGAAATAGATCGATTCTAAGAATTCTCTTTAGCTCTTTGAAGTGTATATTTCAAAAATATTTTCGTGTGTGGTTCGACAAAATACATATTGGCGGATTTGATAGTGGTTTCATTCTTATGAACAATTTCCGTTCAGGAGAACCAGCTGCGTGATTTAGAACAAAAGAAAGAAGAGTTGCTACAGGAACTGAACGACAGAGATGAAGAAAAGCAGAGCCGTATATTGCAGATACGTGATCTGAAAGATACAGTAGATGATGCTAGCAAAGAGAATAAGGAATTACGTCAAAAATTACAGTTTGTTAACGAAGAGGTAGATCGTTGGAAAAGTGAGCATGATAAAGCTGTAGCGATTATTAAAAAATTATATAGTGTAAGTTTTTTTTTTTAAAGCATAATTTGCTTTCAAAGGAGAGGAATAGAAATGTTATGTTGAAATGTTGCTACATACTTCTTTTTACCATATAATTCTTGATGAAGATAAGATGATGGACTTCTACCGTTGGAACATTTTTCTCAAGAAGAGAATAACAGTTGTAAATGAATAAAAAATAATTGAAGTAATCTAATCATGAATAATATCTTCCATTTTCTATTCGTAAAATTTCTGGAAGAGAATTATTCATAGGCGACGCATACACTGCAACGATGAACATCTTTGGGAGACATATAGTAAAAATCAGAAAGGAAAGCCTAATAATTCTACTAATATTAATTCTCTAAATGCAGTTTTATTAATATCGATTGAAATATTCGGAATTTTTCAGGGAAAAACTCGTCGTATTGCTGTTGGCGATGGTACGGTGATGAACGAAAAAGTTAATAATATGGAAAAAGATTTGGAAGAACGTAAAAGGACCATTGATGCTCTAACTGATTCAAATATACAACTGAGGACAAAGGTTTCATCATCTCTTAATGTTCTTCTGTGAAGATAAATAAATTGTCCACATCGATGTGCAAGCGCTGCTAGTTATTCCTACGATTTTTATATGCTAATCGTAAACACTATTAAATATTTATTTATGATAGTCATTTTATACGCATCCCATTCAGATTCTAGTATTTCATTGATATATTTCTTAAATTATTTTTTGTAGCTAGAAAATTTGTCAACGGAATGTGAGCAGGCTAAGAAAGATGCGGAAATGTGGAGAGTTAAATGTGAGAAAAAAGAAACTTGTGAGTCTTTATTTTACTTAAAGGCACAGCAAATCCTTTTTTAAATGGATATTTTTACATTGATAAATTCGTAAATTGATGAATTCTTAAATAGCAAGGAATATAGAAATGTTTGCAACCTTAGGTGTGAAATTATCGGACACAGCAATTTTTTGATAAGATTAATTTGCGTACATTTTTATTTTGTCATTGTTAGTTTGTAGATCTGCATGACGGATAGTAGTTCTCAAGAAATCAGGTAAATGCTTTGCACTCCAAATAACTGATCATTCATTGGTTGATAAGTACGGCACAATTATTTTCTAGATATTCTCAAGAAGAAGTATTTTGATTGCCTTTTTTGGAGGCATGCAGAGTTTTTTTGATAACACATGAATTTTTTCAGTAATCAATGATCTTATTCAATGCCGACGATCACCCATTATTAATCCACCACAGCAGCAATCAAATTTAACTTACGGAAGTACCACACCGACTGTCTATCCACGTGTCTTAGGAGTGGTGCGTTAATTCAAATTATTGTGCGGTTCAAATATCAACTAAAGGAGTTCTATATAAAAGGAAAACAAAAATTTTTTTTTGATTTCAATAAGAGTTTTTGAAGGAAAAAATGAATTTTTAAAATTTATATATTTTTCTTCGTTTAACATTATTCATTGCTCTCTATGCTATGATTTACAGCTGATAAGTTCCAGGCAAATTGGACTGCTCAAATAACTACGCCTTTACGAAATACGGGATCTATGACAAAAATTCCAGATCATCAGAAAGAAAAGTGCATTTTGGATTTATAAATTGAATAGAAATAACGAGCAGTTTCACAAAAATTTATAGCAGCATTTATGAGCTACCGTCATACTTGTCTAAGATATATATATTAAAAAAGAATAAAAAGGTTTTGAAATGGGGCTTATAAAGCAGCTCGCGCAAATCTTGATATGTTTTCGGAATTTTTCAAGACGAAGAAAGTAATGTAGAAAAGAAAGGGGTGGTAATTTTGGTATTTACATTTTTTTATATTTTTATATTTCGATTAATTTGGATTTTGTGTGTGAAACCATTGTAGAACTATGGGAATTAAATATTTTCAAATTTCATTTGTTTTCAGTGAGCTAAATTCATTGGCTATAACACCACCAACTGAAGTACAGATCTTAACAGGATGCGCAAGAGCTAAAACTTAGATATTAATCTCAAGTTTGTGACTAACTGCATTGATCATATATGCGCCCAATTTATTGCTTATTATATTATATTCTTGCTGACGGACTCCATTGTTTCAGACACCTCGCGAAATAAAGTCTCTCTGCGATCTAATGGATTAGCTAATTATTAAACAAATGCATCCTTTAGTTTTTCAAAAAATTTTCATGAAAGTTTATAGAAATTTGCTGATAAGAAAGTTCCATTCATTTTCATAATTAAGTTTTGATCAGCCATAAAGTCTGTGAAGTCTCATTATATCCTTTTTTGAATGCAAGTATAGTAACGATTCCTTTTTCCTTGCTTGATACGTGAATGATACTTGCTTGATACGATTCCTTTTTCCTTGCTTGATACGTGAATCAAGACCAATGCTCTTTGAATTTACGTTCGAAGGTTTTTCATTGTCAGTCGTGATCTACATTTACATTAAAAGTTTTACTTCAAAATTTAATTCTGTTGTACTGTAAAAGTATTTGCCATGATAGTTCGAAAACTTTTTCAAATATTTCAACATTTTTCTGCGTGTTCTCCGTTACTCTTATATCATTAAGTTATAACACTATTATATTGCAATAATAAGTTCAAATTAAGCATTTGATAAGAAAAATTTGTTTAACATAGACCTTGCGTTGCTGGACGTCTTACCAACATAACATGATAGTAATAACTGATTGTTGTAGAGGAATCATATTGGCGATAGTCCGATATACTGTAAAAGCCTGTTTTGTCAACTCATCTTTCTGTAATTCATTTTCTTCCCAAATGTCTGATTCAGTATGTTTCAAATTTAAACTTTAAATTTGCCATTTAATATTTAATACGTAAGAATTATTGACGGAAAAAATCTTATTCAATTTTTAATTTCAAAACTTTTCCATATTTTTGATAATCAGAAAAAAAAGGAATACTGATTATCCAATCCATGTAATAACTGTGAGCTTTGTACAAAAATTGTAAAAGAAGGATGACGAAATAGTTTTAAGCGGTGGTTTGTGGATTTTCGTAAAATTAAATTATCAAATATGAACAACTGTAAAAATTGCTGTGCATTTCCGGTGTCATAAACTTCTCAAGTGACTTGGATTGTCTACTTTTTAGACGAAGTCAACATTTTGGCACTTTTCTTCGAGTTCTCAAGTTTTGCTAAATTTCACATTTTAGAAGCTCTGAAAAAATAACCTTGAAGTATTTTTACAGATTACAGAGACGATATATTTTCGGGCATTATTCTTTCATGACTTCGTGATAAAGAATATCATTGCAATGAAATGAAATACATGCACAATTTGTTCTACCATTTGGATCAATCTTATCAGCGCAAATTTCTGAATCAAAGAAGTAGAGAAAAAGGATACTTTGAGTAACGATAGTTTCATCAAATGCAATGAAATCAATTCACAACATTTTTTAAGTGTTAAATCCTAATAATCTGATGATTAGATACTTTTACCAAATCATGGATTGCATAATTTACATCTTTTCCCAGTTTGCCATATCATATAATTACGGCAGAATTCAACGTTATGAAAATGTGCGACTTCATGACAATTTGATTTATCAATTAGCATTAGGTAAATCGCGAAATCCTTCTTTGTGACCAAAGTTCAAAGTTATTCTTTGAAATTTGTAAAAT